CCCCCTGCCCCTTTCCCCGTGTACTCCCCACAACCACCGCAACACGGACCCCGGCCAAAACCCGTTCAACTCGCGGCGTCGTCGCAGGCGAACTCTGGCACAAGTAGCGTAGCCGGGGCTGTGTGAGAGATACAGAGGTAGCATGGGCCGCAAGGAGTGCAAGCAGAACAGGCTGATCCGTTGTCTCCGTGTGCCGGTGGCCGCCTTCTCTGTCAAGCTCGCGCCCAGCCCGTCTCTCTAAGGCCTCTCTCTCTCACACACACACTCTGGGACGCCCGGCTACGCCACTCCACTGCCAGCGCACCGCACCACCGCCACCTCCCTCTCTGCCTTCTACAAAAATACCGAGTAGTGGTCTGTGCAAGCTGGGCGGGGCGTGGCGTGGCGTGGCGGGGCGTGGCGGGGCGTGGCAGGGCGTGGCGGGGCGTGGCGGGGTTGTGCGGCCATTAGCCGCGCCCTCAACCTGCTGCCGCTGCTTGGCCAGCCGCCGACCCGCCCCTCCTCTGGTCCCCACAGCTGTTGTGGATGGAGTGGGTACCACCTCGGACCGTGGGTTGAGGTGGTCGAGGGAGAGGGGGGACGACAGGCGGCAGCGGCGAGAAGTGCATGAGGGCCGACACGTGCGCGCACGTGGAGCGGGCTGCAGGGAGCCAGGGAGCCGCTGCAGCTGACGGCCCCGGTCCGGTGGACACCCCCACCATCGGCGGCGGGTGCGGGGAAGTCCCGAGGCACCGGACGGGCCGACCTGGCCTCCCGCGCCACCGCCACCCCGAGTCCCTCGCGTTACCTCTAATAACCCGCATCCCCGCATCCTAGCATCCCTTCGCTATCCCCGGGCGGCCCCTACTACCGGCGCGGCCGGCACTCGCGGCGGGGGCCGGTGCTCCAGCCAGCAGGTCAGAGAGCTGGATGTGGACGGGTGGAGGCGCGCGCGAGGACTGCGGGCGAGGCGGCGGCGGGCCGGGGGCAGCCGAGGGGCTGGCGCCGCCCCCCTCACTCTTCTCCGCCCGCCCCCGCTCTTGCGCCCGGCGGCGCATGGCCCCCACGGGGGTAGCCCTTCCCCCCCCCCCACCTTAGCTCTCACCCGATCATACACTCGCGTGGCTTTCGCCTGAGTCAGTATCACACTCTCCCTGTGCTTTATAGGAGCCTTGTCGTCTTCAATGAAGTCAAACCCGTGTGTGACTTGCCGCACACATGTCAGATTTTCATTCATTCGTCTGTTCGTTGTAAATATTTTACAACTGAAAACATTTTTTTTTTTAATTTAACTGATCACATTGTAGCTGCCGCACGGGAAATGCCATGCCGTCAGTTAGTGGGAACATTACGGATTGAATGTGTTCATTTGGCGCCCAGCCTTGCGTTTGGCGCGGTGGTGTGCCCCCCCCCCTTTCCCCCACTCCACACCCTTACCCCAGTAGTTCTGTCTTTCACCGTGAGGTGGCGCCAGCTGACCGAGCTGGCCCGTTCCGTTCCGTATGTTTCTTGTGCCATGACGTATTTTTCATACAGTTAGGGTAGGTGTTTGTTGTGGTTTCTTGTTTGTTGGTTAGGGATGGCTGTGACGGCGATTGCAGCTGATTTCGTTGTGCTTTATAAAGACGTTTATTCAGAAATTCTCCTGTAATTTTCATGAAATATCAAGGCAAGCAGTACGGAGAAAGATATGTAAGTCAGTACGAGTCATTTATCCGAGTGACAGTTTGATACGACCCGAGTTAAAAATAAAAGTGTGCTGCATCATCTATTTTATATAATATTTATCTTGTTTAACGTGTTTTGAACCATCCTATTGCATATTATTTTCAGGTCCATCTTGATTTTTTTATTTTGGACTTTTTAGTTCTATGAGTGAATTGCTTCCACGAATATTATATGTTCATTCATTGTTGCTTGTTTCTCTGTGTAGGAATTTTGACATTTGTCTGAAAGAGGGCTTGATCGTTGATTTCAGGGCTTCAAGTAACAAAATGCGAGCTGCCCGTCTGTCTGGGCAACAATTTGAGGTTCTTATTGAATTCATGCAACAACATCCACATTTTGCTGTTGGACGGGCTTCTGGAGGCTCTTATACCAAAGAAGAACACGATCAACTCTGGAAAACATTAGCAGCTATTCTTAATGAAACGCAGGGGCCAGTTAAACCTGTGTCAAAATGGCAGAAGGTACAAGGTTATAAAACCATTTGTGATACCCTAAAGTTGGTCATGTTAAGTTAACTGTTTTTAAAATTTTATGTTGCATTAGTGCTGGGTTGATTTAAAATCAAATGCCAGAAGCCGAGCCAACAAGTGGAGGGCAAAATTTTCGGATAGCCCTCCAGAACCTTCTGGAGCTGTGTTTACTCCCTGGGATGAACGTGTTCTTAGATTACTCAATAGCATCAGTCTTGGAAACAATGACAGTGTAAGCAGCAATCAACACATCTTGATGTCAGCTCCAATTTGCATGATTTTTTGTCAATTGATTACCTTTTTTGTGTTTTTACAGTCTCCTTTGCAGCTAGTGGAAGTTGGCTTTTCTGATAAAGTTGTACCTTCACCCAAAGCACAAAGACTAAATAATCTACCCATCCTATCCAAAGATGTATACCATAACCATAACAATAGATCCCGATATGTAGGTATTATGATCATTCAGGACAAGCACAAAGAAGTTTCTGGATCATCCGTTTGAAAGTATTCCTTCTTTTAAATCTAATCTACTACCTTCCTCTTTAGGATCTAGATGCTGGACCTCATGATTTCAATCTAATGGAGACTTTAAATAAGGCTGACCGAGCATGCACTGCTGAGGTGAAATCTGAGGAGGAAGAGTGGCTGGAAGAGGAAAATGGGATTTGCGAAGAAGAGTATTCACTTGATTCTATGTCAGCGAGAAATGGTATAGTAAAGGCTAAGTTGTCTTATGTTTTTTCACAATTTCTAAATTCTGAAATACATCTAAACTTTTCATTTATCTTTTACAGATTTAGATTCTCAAGCAATGAGGTATTTGCCAACTCATTATGCTTCACCGTCCATAAATGAAACAGAGGAATTGCCTGGTGGTGCTCATTCTGTTAGATCTAATAAAAGTGAGTTTATTTTAACCTGGCTTTTGGTATACGGACACTTTTCCATTTCTTAATTTGCGATGATTTTGTCTTTTAGGAAAACTAGAGGACCATAGTTCCACTATGAATGTGGAGGACTCTTTAGAAAGGCTTTCTAAAGTAAGTGAATTAACTTTTTTTTCCTGTGGCCCCATGTTTATTAATTTGAGTCAAGGAGGCTGATACCATCTGTTCTGTACATGCATTTCCACTCTACTTACATCCTGTTTTCATTATTTGCAGAAAATTTGTGGAACATTAGACAGAATAGCTACTGCAGCTGAGGAAGCTAATACACTCCAGCAACAGATGGTTAATGCCATGAATCGTTTAGCAACAACCTTTGAAGGGCTACTTCCTGTTGTGACCGAAGTTCTCTCAAAGAAATAGGGTTTAGGCGTGTGGTATGTATCGAATGACATTTATCCATTGACCACTAACTTTATTATGAACCAGGTGTTTGTTCATAATCTCTAATCATCTCTAGTCGTTTGGCTGTTGAATTACTATTATTAAATTTTAATTTCAAACTCCGGTGTTAAGTCAGCACTAGAGACTGGAGTTTGATCAATCTTAGTCAGAAAGAGGTAGTAAAGTACACACATCTTTCATGTTAAAATAGGATCTAGGTGATATGTGATTTTGGTATCTTTAGTGTGATAGTAATGTAAACACATGATTCCTCAATTTGATTCATTCCAGTATATCCTATCTCAATATTCTAGTTTTTGCAAATAGCACGTTCATGGCCGTAAATGTTTGTTTAGAAGTCTGTGGCCATTTGCAATTGTTCTTCTTCTTTTCTTTTTTTTACTGTTTTACAAATCTGGCCATATTTAATCTTTTGGTTTTGGAGTTTGTGGCCACATTCAATCTTTTGTTTAGATCACCTACAAAATCTGAGAAATGGGCTGAGACCATGGCTAATGTGTAAGGTAAAAAAAGGAGTGAAAAGAAAAGTTCATATTAAAATCTTTATGTATTAAAAAAAATCTGAAATTTTTTCTATAAATATATTTACAATAAATAGTTAAATAAATAAATAAATAACCACAAAAGACATTACAAGTAAGCCCTATCAAAACCAGTAGGATTGACTCAGATTGACTTGTCTTTTTCATTGATTGTTTTCTTTTACAAAAGGCTAAAAGGT